TGAACCCATTTGAGTAAAAAAGATGTTTTTTAATTCCTTTCCTACCAAAAAAAATCTGACGTAAGAAGTCTCAGGCTCCAATCCTCCAAAGGCATGCTGAACTTTATGCACATGTATGGATCTGTTGATTCAGAATGACTGCTCACTTGTATGTGTTAAAAAAGCCAGACACGTAGCTAAGACTTTGCAAGACTGTCCCCCCAAATTCAAAAATAGCACTATTTTAAGCAGACCATCACAAATCTCCCATTAATTTATTTTCATAAGGTTCCTAATGGAAACGGCTGCACGTTTACATTGACTTTTACACCGAGGGCGATAACAACATTCATATATGGAAAGCCAAGAAGCAGTGATACCATTAGTACGTATATCAATCCAAAGACTGAAAGGCTGGCAGCAAAAGCCCTGTGGGTAATGATATTGATGGCTCTGGTTCTTCTGGAGGTAAAACTTGTTCTGCTGGAGCTCAACCCACAGGAACAAAACCCCCTCAGTGAAACACCCCGCATTTGAAAAATCTTTCAGTCTGTCTCCAATTACTGTGACAGGGAATATCTGATATGAGTTGCTGGCACGCTCACAAATTAAGAGAGAAACCTAATGATATTGCTTATGTTCACGCTGAGCATTAAAAGGTAATGTCTAAAAGGTTTTATTGTGTTAATAAAACTCAGAGGTGGTCAAGACTTGATGCACACAGGAACAGACTACAAAATAATCAGTCATAATGTTACGACTTCATTTTTCATTTCTGTTTTCAAGTTTGCCTTGAAAATCAGAGATTGCACTAAAGGAAAAAAGACAATATTATATCAAAGAAAAGGAAAAATTATAAGCATGAGTTATCTTTAATGTTTTACATCAAAATGAAATTTCTGTGATATGTGTCATGTGCATAAACAACACAGGCAGCCTTTGTCTTTGTTGAATTTAAATGAAAAGTCCCTCTAGATATTAATATGTGGACTTCATTTGTTAGCCTGCTAAGTCAGGGACTTATAACAAAAGCTTTGTAAACAAAAGATTAAACTGAATCGAGCTTTAGAAAATGAAAGGAAAACAAGAGTCAAATAATCACAGATCAGAGTGGGGCTGCTTAGATTGAAATCACTACAAGCTACTGGAGTGGAAAATGTTTAATTGAACTATTTCATTACGCAGGAAGTTTATGTCCCTCTTGTAGAATCCAAAATATTTGTATCAGAAAATCCATTCTCCTTCTTTAAAAATACTCTCCTGCAAGTATCAAATGCGATCTTAAAAATTGTCGATTAACTTAATGGTGAAGAATTAATGTGGGAAATGGGTCAAATTTAAGAATGAAGGGTAGCTTGACTTTGCAGCCTGACGTGCCTACCTAAGAAGTTGATACATCAGCCGGAATTCTTACGTGGCGTTATTTTACAAGTGATAAGCAGGATATGGCGTCACTTAGCAACATATATTAAATTAGAAAACACAAATGCTTTTTGACTCTTTACTAACCTTTGGTAACCTTTCGGGATCACCTGGATGTCGTGGAATAACTTTCTGCAACCTCTGAAAGCCATAATCTATGGTTGGTTCATTAAGTG